GTGCGCGGCGCGGCGGAAGTGAAGAGAACGAGACGAGAGCATAAACGCTGAGAGAGGGAGAGAGGGGGAGAGAGAGAGAGAGAGAGAGAGAAAGAGAGAGGGATCGCAAAAGAGAAGATCGTAAAAGAGAGCACGCGTCGGCTGCTACGGGACGGGATAATCGCAATTTAAGTTCTCTCTGTACTGTGTGACCCTTACATTATTTTGTCCCTCCGATAGGGACGGGTTCAGTGTTGTAACTTAGGATATAAGAAGACTAAAAAGAGCTCCGGAGCGCACAATAAAAAGATAGAAAGAGGAAAAGACAGAAGGAGAGAGAGAAAAAGAGAGAGAACAAAGATCTGGGATCTGAGATTTCGGAAGAGAGAAGAAAAAAGAACTCAGAAAGAAAAGAATAGTGTGTAATTTGTGACTGGAAACGTGTCCACGTCGAGAAACGTTTACAAGAACAAGAAGAATCGCGAGCAGCAATCAACGAGGGACGGAAGAAAGGAACGTTCACGAAAAAGGATTGGCTTCAAGCGTCGCGTAGAGATACAGTGGAGCTCCAATTTTTTATACTAGAAGAAGAATCTAACAAAAAAGCGTGAAAGAGAGAGCGAAAGCGAAAGAGCGAGAGAGCGAGAGAGAAAGAGAGGGGAGAGAGAGAGAGAGAGAGAGAGAGAGAGAGAGAGAGAAACTTGGGAGAATCAGGGAGAGTGCGAAAGGGGAGCGGAGGATCGATCCTATTCGTGTTTCCGCGTGCACTTCCACGTGTGTCCTTCGATACGAAACTGCAAGAACTTCAATTCTGATCTAGTTTAAGATCTTTCATTTAGAGGAGAGATTCAGAAGAGACGGGATAAAGCGAAGAGTGACACGTTCGTGACACCATCGATCGATATCCGGTCTCGAATAACATAATCCGGCCCGCGTGCAAGCTCCTTTGGGGGATATGTCCTGCCGTTCCAGAGGGAGTCGTCGTCATCCGGGAGCGCAACCTTCGCAACGCCGAGGACAACGTCAATCCGAGTGCCGTCCCTGCGTCCTGGATCCCGCGGCTGGTAAACTGTCCTGACGAAAAAAGGACCATCCCCTTAGCTCGTCCCGATCGAAGCAGCGCGATCATCAACGGACAGCAGTCATATCAGATACGCGGTCATCTCCCAAGGACGCGGACCCATCACGAGAAAGGGTCCATCCAGGGATGCCCGCCAGGGCCCAGCCACGCTCTCGTCTCGCGTACGTTCAAGGACGATGACGATCGGCCAAGACGATCGGTAAGATCCAAGCAGCGCGAGCACGCGCCAGCATCGCGGAAATGGCGGGCTACAATCATTCGAATCCACAGCGTGTCGTCTACCATGCGACCTACCCGACGCCCCTCGCCCCAAGTGAGTTTATCTGCTGTTTATGCACCCCGATGTAGAAAACCCCCACAACATTTGACACGACATTTGACAACATTTGACATGTCACGCGGCATGTACCATAGTCTTCCGATATCTTCAATTCATCATGGAGATTGAAATTTATTTGATCATTTATTTGAACATCGTTGCTGATTGCGCAGTTGGAGAGAATTTAAAAATCATTTTCAATTATTTTTTACAACGTAGAAGAAGCTGAATTAATCTGTGGGTTTTTAAGACCTGATTTAAAAACTATAATTCTATAAATTACATATTTTTTTTTTTTTTTTTTAGAAAACTAGCAGTTAAAAGATATAATTTTTAGAATCAGATTTTTTTAACTGCTAGTTTTCTTGTTCGCTAGAAAACATTAGTTGGTAGTAAAAAAGCACTGTGTAAATCAAGTCTAAGCAACGAGAGAGAAACTTTCTCAAGAACTGAAGAGATTTTCTCGGGAACTGGAGAGATCTCTTGCTGTTTTTCGTTTCTTCTTTGCTTGAGAATTATTAAAAGTTTCGTCTACGGTGCCTTCAAAGTGCCCTCATCTCCTTTTATTTCTGCAAATTGTGTTTTAAAAAATTGGCATTGTGAAATTTTGAACTTTGAAGTTTTTCAGTTTCTTCAATTATTTTATGTTTTTAATTATAATTGATATTATATGTGTTAATTATTTATGTCTTTAAATATAATTGAAAGTCGTTAAATTTCTATTATTTTAGCACAAAAATAAAAAATTAAGATTCCTTCAATTCAAAATATAATAAATATACAAAACCAAGGCAAGGGAATCCGCACTGTACTTCGTGCGCTAACAATTGATATAAATATATAAATATAAAAGAGATGTTAGGCTAAATAATAAAATTAATAATACATTGTCATCTCTTAAAACTAAGAACGAGACGAATAAAACGTTTTACTCGTCTCGTTCTTAGTTTTAGGAGATGACACTGTATTATTAATTTTATTATTTAACCTAACATCTTTTATATTTATATATTTATTTTATATATATTCTTTGTGGCATAATTATGAAAAGTATATGAAATTAATATATGAGATATTTGTTTTGAATAATATATAGTGATGATTTTTATAATAAAATTAGATAACATCGCGACGTTAAAATATTCCAGACAAGTAAACTATTACGAGATCTAGATCATGGTGACTGTATTTAACTGTCATACTTATGATTGTGAAAGTTTAGTTAATGGTGCCTAGTTTCGGTGAGTTTCACGAATCAATGAAAATTACATAAATCATAGGCGATTGGCGAACAAAGTGCCATTAAATAAATATTTGATTCCCTCGGATAATTTCTAGCTAACTCTGGTGATTTTCGGCAAATGTTTCGCTAAAGATGGAACTTATTTTGAAATTGCTATAATTTATCAAATTTGTGAAAAAGATTACAATGAAACAAATTATTAAATAAATTTGCAGTACGCAATATGATACATTTATGCGATTTTTAGTCGCAGATAAAGGACTCTACACAATTATATGAAAAATTGAGTTTTGGAGAAATGAGTTGATTAGTTTTCATATATAATGTAACTTACAATATGGTGAACAAAAAATATCATAGAAAGCTTAATTAATAAACAATTTTTTAACTATTTCAACAAACAAGTTGACGTTATTTATCATCGTTTTGATGTCAAATTGACATTTTTAATGCCAAATTTAACAAAATGACAAATAACATCAGTTTGTTTGCTGGAATGGTGTATCAAAAATGCTTTGTGAATATCAATTTTACACCTTTGATACATAATTGAGTCTTGTACCTATGACTTTTGTTCATAACATTATAAGCTACATTATATGTGAAAATTAACTCATTTCACCGGAACCCAATTTTCTATATAATTAGTGGTAAAGTTCTTTGAACGAACCTTCGTGGGAAAAAAATGCACTTGAACAGTGAACTTATTCCGTTAATTAAAGCGTAACAAGGTTATCATAAATTGCGCGACCATAAAAATTTCCTGATTGCAATCGTGATTTAGATTTATATGTATGTAACACAATTTCTAACGTTTTCAGAAAAATTATGGTAAGCCACTTATTTGCCCTCGTTTCTACCATTATTTCTTGCCAGAACACGATATCTCTTTTTGTTTCATGTTTAGGTATGCGTGTGTATTTGTGAAAGAAAGTTTTTTTCTTCCAAAAAGACTGTAACAAAAGTTATATCAAAACGGATGAATTTCGTTATCTCCACGATAACTTTATGGTTACTTTCGTCGTATCGATTCAATTTTACATAATGTATTACACAAAGTATAGAAAGTGTTTGGTTACAAAGACATGGGGGATTCATACTATATTTCCGCATTTCATATCATAAAGAACGGTGCTTCAAGAATGCGCGACGCATGATATTGCCGATATATCACACGGAAGAGCACAGATGTCCCATGCGTAATATCAATAATATATCGAGAGGAAATACAAACGCTGCAAAACGGAAGTATTTTGCCAAGCGAATCCGTTCGCTTGATGTTTAGATGTATAGGAATATTAGCCTTGGATTTTAATAATTTGAAAACAGAGTACACATTCGAATCTTACAACATTCATAGAATGAATTATTTTCTCGATAATACGCAATAAATTTTCTATGAATCTTTTTATAAGAAAAGATTAAAATTTGTACTAAATATTATGCTACGTTTTACTAAACCTTTACTAAATATTACGATCTGTATATATATTACAGTTAATAAAAGAATTTTTTTTTAAATATTCATGCAAAGTTCTTTCCAATATACTTGGAATAATGTTGTTCAATCATTTACATAATATTATACGTGTTTACACGGAAAAACATGTTGTATTGACATTAGCCAACAGTAGTCTAATTCAAAATAGTCTTGTTAATTCAATGATATTATTAATGAAACAAATAACATTTTATTAAAACAAGAGCATGACGTCATTGTTTTATTAGTACTATTGAATTAATAATATTTATTTTCAATTAAACTGCTATTGGCCGATAATTAATACATTATTTCTATCTGTATACGTATATAAAAAATAATAATAGATAATATTACGGTATTATTTTAGCTTTCTAAAAATTTTCTTGTATTTCTCGGTCTTACTTAAAAAAAATAATTGTACAAAAAAATAATTGTACGTGCTAAAGTTCTCGGTAAAAGAATCTTTAGACCGTCGATTTTTATTTTGCATTTTAACAGGAGTAGATATAGTTCACGGCACGTTCGTAGAAAGTGCAATTTATTACAAGTGGTATTTTATAGCGAGCGTGCATAATATACATGGCTTAAATCGATGGAGTTTTTCGATCGGTTGTGTATAAACAGAGTTAATGACACATGCCATGTAACGTTAAAGCTGCCTGGACGTCGCGAGTGTGAGTGCAGTCGCTAATGCTCATGACACAATAACGATTCGCTTGTCGATCCGCTGTAAAACTGTCACGATCGATCAGCACGCACGTCGACGACATAAATTCAAGTTTTCCGTTAAATAATGTAACGGGTTACGGAACAAATCGCTTCTGAAATTGATGTTTTCTACGATTCCACATTTTCTAGCGAGAACAGCTATTAATTGAGATAATTTATCACGCAGATGGCGACCCGATAAAGCTTCCCGAAAATCTGGAAACGTTGCCGCGAGCTGAACACTTTCCAACTCAGAGGCATCGATGGAACACCAACGAGGTAAGTTGCCTGTCGCTCATTCGTTAAACGCAAATATTAAATTCGTGGGTCAATAGAAAACACACGTGTAACCTATATATTCAAACATCTGTCGACACTATATTTAAAAAAGAATAATTAAAGTTGGGCTCTTGAGATAAAAACTAAACAATCAATCAATGAAAAAACGGGCAATTAAGAGCCTAGATTTGCAGTAATTGGAGCGATTATATTAACATATATTTCTCAATACTACACACACGCGCGCGCGCACACACACACACACACACACACACACACACACACACACACACACATACACACACACATACACACACATATGTGTATAACAAATATTGAACGTTTCGGCTTAATTCAAACCATCTTCAGCAGTCTAGTATAATAAAATCTCTTGATAAATAATTCGATAAATAATTCTTGGTAGTCTCGTATAATACAACTTCCTTAATATAATTCAAATAGTCGTAAATCAAAATATTCGAGTGCAAGGGAGTCTTCCAGATTACTGCATAATAAAATGATTATCATTAAATTTATAGTATTTTATTATGCAGTTATGGAGTGCAGTAGCTCGCACTTAGTCTAACAGCTAAATGACGGTTACATATTTCAAATTTGGTAAACTGGGAGACTCCCTTGCTGCACGATTATCTTGATCTACGACTACTTGAATTGTATTAAGGAAGTTGTATTATACGAGACTACCAAGATATCTCGAATTATTTATCAAGAGATTTTATTATACTAGATTGCTGAAGATGGCTTGAATTAAGCCGAAACATTCGGTATTTGTTATATATATATATATGTAGTATTGAAAAATATATATTGATATAATCGTTCCAATTATTGCGAATCTAGGCTCTTAATTGCCATTTTTCATTGATTGTTTAGATACTATATTTCTTAATCGCACGATACTCGTATTGTATAATATCAGGTTTTTTAATTGCAATTTCATATAATGCATAAATCGATGTAAACTAAATATTGATAACTAAACATTTATATATGAATAGAAATGTAAACATAAATTAATATTTTAATAGTCACGGGACATATGTTTGAGAAAATAGCGTTAATAATATATCTGATATTCATTTAAATATTTTATGTTACGTACAATATATTATTTAAAAAAAAAATACATTTTACTTTAATAATAAAAATTCGTGCTGACAATATATTTTTCTGTTTGATATTTAAATATTTGCTCTCATATATTAGATGTCTAACAATTAACAAGAGGTTCAGTAGAATACAAGTCATCATAACATAAATAATGACATCAAAATAACTCCAAAATATTTATTAAAAGTCATCTTTTAATTAATAACATTTATTTTAACGTCAGTTTCAAAGTCACTTTTCAATTAATAACGTTCATTTAATTAAAATTATTAAAAGTTACTTTTCAATTAATAAAGATTATTAAAAGTCATTCTTTGATTAATAATGTTCATTTTAACAATTTATTATAATCAATTTGATATTATCGTGACTTACTGTTGAGCCCTCCGTTCTAATTTATTATAGATTATTACCAAATAGTGTAACTCCAACGTATAATATGCCTGAAATTTAACGACGACTTTGCTTTGAAATGAAACGGGGCCAAAGTATCAAGTACCAAAGTATCTTACGTACCAATGTATCTTACGTATGGATGCATTTGCATTCTGGCTCTCGGAGTGCATCCCTCTTTGCGGCGCGGCGGTCGCGTGCCCGACCGCGAATTCCGGCGCTAGCGGACCGATCTGGTATTACCGGAATTCCGATGGACCATTCCGCGCGTCGTCTCTTTTTTCCGGTGTAAATTTTATTCGTGACCTCACCGGGGCCAGAACGGATGTATGTATTTATACAAGACTACGCGAGAGTTAAATGGGAAGGTAAATAACGCGCGCTCGTTCATGTTGGTTCGTGGCACGGTTAAGGAGAATAGATGCAGTCAATGCAGCCGTTGCTTGTGTGCAACGTACAGGGACGACATTAAGGGCGAAATTGCTCAAATGGTCCTGATGAAAATTTTAGGGGTTGCAACTTTCAAAAGCATGCTTAACTTTATGATGTATTTTAATTTTAATAATTCTTTATGTTATAGAGTTTGTAACTGGAACTATGTAAACATTAAAGAGCATTAATAATTTTTATTAGTTGTAAGTAACTAAAAGTTGAGGAGCTTTTCTACCCTTTCGATGTTGTAACGTATTTTATAATGTGTGTATGTGTATGCGATATAATAAGTATTTTATTCCAATTATGTCACTATTTTTTATAAAAATAGCATCAAATATTTGAGAAAAATAATTTTATAATTTCCACAGAAAAAATAATCTTGCTGAAGTATCTATAAATTTAGCTGCGTAGATACTGATTTGAGAATAATTTATTGAACCGTAAAATAATTTTATCAAAGTAATTTTATCAGACGCTCTAAATGATTGTCAACATTTTTTACAACATTATTTATCATGCTTGAACGTTATACATAATTATTTTGATAATCCGATCTGAAAATTATTTCCAGATCTGTATTTAATTAAATTTTTAGATATTCCAGCAAAATCGTTCCTTCCGTGCATTTTTGTGATTATTATATCATCCATTCGTTTTTCACTTATTTTCTTACGCCTATAATACATACTACTGTAAAAATACGTGTCGAAATACGCGTCGGTTGCATTGATTCCCAAAAATTTTATCGGATTGTCTTAAAGTATCGCGAGGGCAAGGAGGGAGAATGCTGTTTCAGCATTTCGCCTGAGGAGGTGAAATTCCTGGTCACGACCCTGGCGTTGTCGGTGTGTGCAGCGGCGCGGCTCCACGCCGGTGTGTGCAGCGCGTCGGCAAGGGTGCACGTACTCACACTCGTGCGCTGCACACGTAGATCGGCTTGCACCGATGCAGTCCACACCGCTATACTCTGACCCAGGTCGGTCGGCCTTCGATCAATAGCTGGAGCCAGCGAGAGCTCGCAGCCGGCGGCGCTGAGCTTTTCAGTATCGCCGAACGAAACTCAATTGCGATCCCTGTGCGCGCGGCGCGACGACTATCATTGTAAACGATAAGTCAGCCTCTTCTTGTCCTCCCCCTACCCCCGCGAGTTCCCATCCACCACACGCTTGTTACTTTTCCGAATCGCTCTCCCTCCTCGATAAGTACCGGAAATTAAAAGTTCCTGGAGGAAGGAGAATCGTCGACAGCCTTTCCGTGGACTCTTCAGACTGAAGGAGAGAGAGAGAGAGAGAGAGATGTGCCTCTTTTTATCTCCTCTTTTTCCTTTCTTTTTTTCTACAAGTCGTACCGTTTCGCATTCGCCCATCCGTCTCCACTGTCTCTCCTATCATTCTATATTTGCTTTCGAGGTGGTCGTCCACTCCTAAGCGATGAAAATTGGCTCCTTATCTCTGACGAATCTATTCAATTTCATATTGTCGCGACAGCAATTTTCGTTCTTATTCCGATTTCGACATCGGAATCTTAACGAAATTGGCTCCTGTCGTTGCGATACTTGATAAAATGGATAGATTGGAAGCATCGATTTTATAATGACGAAGGCGCGTTTAAGGTTGTTACAAGATATTTAAATGATATTCAAACGCGACGGACACGCGGCACCATGTGCATCCCTAATGAGGCCAACGATGGCAAGACCGGCCGAATACTGTGTCACAATGTTCGCCTTATCCGGTACCTATATTATCAAGTCCTTGGGGGTCCTTTGAACATTATCGATTGCGCGAGCCAACAAATTTGAGCTTTGTTGAAGAACGGGAATCACGCAAAGAGATTTATACCAATGTTGATACGCTCCCTGGAAATAGAACTGACAACTTCTTCTCTGCTCGACTATATTTATAATCATCGATTAAATAGTTTATGTGAAAGCATGCCAATTTCACAGACTAACACTCCCAGAGGAATAATAAAATTTCCTTTTCTTTTCACGGATACTATTCAGTGATAACGTCTTGAAGTTTCGGAGTTTATTCGAACGTTTTTATTTCGATCGCCGACCACAGTTTCGCGTAAGGAGAGCTTCAACGTATGTTGGAATCCAAATTTCTTTCTGTCTATTCAACTTTTCCGTTCAATTTTGTCAACGACTTTCACGTAACATAAAATCCAATCTTGATTCTCTTAATTTTATTTACGTAACTCAATATCCTGTCAATGATGCGGACTATTGGATGTAACCAGAGATATGCAAATTATTCGAATACGAATTGAATCGATTCAAGTGAGATTCGATTTGATTAAACGCGTATATTTAAAATTACTTTATATCAAATAATCATTATTCTTCTTTTACATCGAAATATTTTTGTTATCTACATATTAAAATCTTACGTAACAATAATTATGCTGTATTTAAAAGTTACGTTTCAATGATTCGATTCGATTTAATTCAATTTGATTCGATTCGACGTGAAAAGATCTTTTGCACGTTTCTAGGCGTAATGCTGCTTCACTTATTCCTGAAGGGAAAGATATATTCGTCCATCCAACATTCAAAGCTTCCATTTTTTTTCCACTCGTCTAGATTCGCGCTTTAAAGCTGGCGTGAGTTCAATCTTATTTACATTTGTCAACGTCCCGGTAGCGTTATTCCGCTGCACTCCAGGATTTATGGAACCACTCAGCCCAGTCGATTCATTTTGCCCGCAACCGACTCGAGCCGCAAGGAAGAAGTTCGCGGACAGGTAACGGAGTAAATTTTCACGGTCCTGGAAAGTTTATAAATCCCTCGTGCATACTGCCGTCTAGGCAAAATCCCGTAGCTTCTAGGCGAAATCCTTCCTCAATGTGATCTTGTTTTCTCGCGCGGCTTTCTCTTGTAACGCTCTCGTCCACTTTTTCTTCTCCGTCGCGCCGCTCGTCGCTGCTGCCATTTTTCACACAAGTTCCGACGGCATACGAGATCGTAAGTGGATCTTATGCACTTTCTCATGCCACGGCTTCTCGACGAACCGCCGACAATCAAAAACATCCCAAGG